TTCAGGGAAGAGCTGAAAGGTGACTTTTGCGTTGGGGATTTTCCGACCTCCATGTCGGAGAAGTTGGCTGCGGAGTTTCCCGCGTCGGGATCGCGCGTGCGCCGTTTTTTCTGGGGTGGCTTTACACTTGGGGAATTCGCTGGGGTGTTTACCGTTTTTGGTAGCGCGGGAAATTGCTCAGCTCCCTCAGTGGAAGAGTTTTTGAGATTTAGGGGGTCACTGTTTCCTGGGGACGGAATTATGAGGCTCGGGCCTTTTATGAGCGGGATTTTAGCTGTGTGAGGGGATTTCGCAAGGAGTGCTGCGATGGTCGCATCTTTCTCCTCGTTGGAGGCTTTTAAAGAATTTATCAGCTGGATGGAATTTTCCAGCTGAACTGAGTACTCACTCGCTATTTTCTCCAAGTACTCGATCCTCTGCTTTTGCTTCTCGAGTTCCTTGGCGATCGAAGGGGGCACAGCTATGTCCCAGGAGAGCGGGCTGCGTTCCCGCTGAGAGTTGTGTCGGTTGGCGCGGAGGTCTCAGCTCTTCAGCTCGAGGGATCGCTGGTCCATTGGCCGGCTGACTATCATGTCAGACACTGCGGAGAACTGTGCACTATTGTCACTAGTACTGTCACTTGCACCATTTAGCGCGGACATCTCGGAAGATGATGAGTCTGTTTCTTCCAACAGCACGTCGAAAGAGTTAGTCACACTGACTTGAAATCGTGGATTATCCACAGTGCTCATTTTTTGGCTATGCCCTAGTGAGGGGCTAGCCAATTGGGCCACCCCTGAGGGCGGCGTGTACGCGGGTGTAGAGTTTAGCGGAAACACAGTCGCGCGGCGCGACAAAGTCGCGTTTACGGAAAGAGAAATAGGTAGCCCTGAGAAGGGCCGTTTAGAGAGAACTCAAGTCTGAGTAAGAGCGATGCGTAACGGGCGTGCGCAGAAAGCGTGCGTTCGGTACGAGCGCTCGAGCAACACTGTCCGCCGAGCTCAGCAAGAGTGCCAAGCACTTTAACATTCTCATAATAACTTCCAAGTTAATCCTTCTTTATCAAGCAAATCTTTTGTAGTAACTAGCTAGAGTTTAAGACGGTAATATGATTTATATAAAGGTTGCAACCAATTCAGTCTGTTTATTTAGCCTCGTATCTGCTCCCGGCTCCGGCCCCTTTCCTGATCATGCCCAACGTGCTCGCTAAAAACCTCCATAAGTTCCTGGGGTGATTCTAACCTTTTTTGAAATTTAAACTTATGCTTGGTTATTTGCTAGAGCTGAGATATGGAGGAAAAAAAAAAAAGTTGTTTCTAACTTGTAAACCGAGCGACGTTGCTGTTTAGAGAGAGTTTATATCAATTTATTAAATAAAGTTTTTTTAGCCAGGCGAAACATGCAAGCAAATGACATGTAACAATAACAATAACACGCAGGGAATTGAAGAAATAGTATAATACATACTTAGTGAGCGAGGTTACGAACGTCGCACATTTCACGCGAACAAACGTAAAATCTTGGGCATTTCTTAACCTCTGAACGTGGTGCGTATAATATTTTTTTGCATACCCTCGTCGAAAGAGCTGATTATCTTGATGCCCCGGACGAAGACTATGTCCTACTTCGAAGCCTGGACGAAGACTATATGCCTTTTTCCTAAGTCCGGATGAGAACTATGCCCTTTTGGGATCTCGAACTAAGACTATGCCTTTTTCCGGAGTTCGGACGAAGGCTATGCCCTGTTGTCTAGTCCGGACGAAAACTATACCCTTTTTATCAAGTCCGGGTAAAGATTATTCCATTTTCTCCGAGTCTGGACGAAGATGTTGACCTTTTCTCGAGCCTGGATGAAGTAAAATTCATTTAAGCTCACCTTACATTTGTGTTTGTAATTAGATATATCGTCATATATATTTATATAGTGGTTGTTGTCTACATTTATTGTAATATACACTTTACGAAATCCTTTAAAAAAGTTCATTCCTTTTTTTCAAACTCTTACTCAAACTTCCAGTACTGAAGCCGCTAGAGCTGCTAAGAATAACGATTACGTGTTATTTTTTTATGTAGGTGTCCGTGTGAATTGACGTGCATGGGAATCTCATTGTGAAGATAAAACTTAAAACACAAACACTTGGACACAAGTATCGCGAAACCTTAAAATGTTGAATCGTTTTCAGGAGCTTTGTAACGTTGCACTTTCACGCCCTGATACACTATAGGGAGCAGGGGGGATTGAAGACCTAGAGTATATTAAGGGTCCTTGGGGTTCTGTGCTAGAGCGCAGGGACGTCTTATAAGGTCGAAGCGACCGGGTTGGAGGTTCGCAAGTGCGGCGATGGTGGGGTTTGGGTGGTCCGTAATGGAGGCGCGGATTTCAGACGCAAGGACGGGGGTTGCTGGTATTGGAGGGACGATGTTAAACTCTTTAATAATCTGGGTATTCCTGATGTACCACGGAATACCCAGAACCGACCTCAGTATCTTCATGAAAGGCCCTGGATGCCCTGTAGTCGGTTTCCCTTTGCAGCTCCCCACGTTGGTATCGCGTAGGTGCTGATGCTTTTGATTATGGCGTTGAAGGTGCGCCGCTTGGTCTTCTGGGAGACGGCTTTGTAGTTGAAGAAGGGCTTTAGCTGCACAAAGGCTCCGTATGCCTTACCACGGATGTTGTTGATGTGCCGAACGTACGTGAGTCGGCGGTCTAGCGTTACGCCAAGGTACTTGGAGGAGTAGCTCCAGTCGATTTCTACTCCATTGACCTTTATCTTCTGCATTTTCTTCCTTGAATTTTTCCAAGAGACGAGCACGGCTATAGTCTTTGCCTTGTTTACGACCAGAGTGTTGAATAATGCTGTGACGTCGCTTAAAAATGTTCTGCAAAACTTGAAAAAGTTTCAAAACAGAGAATCAAGTACAAAAACTGTGAGTATTCTAAAAATATTATTGAATGGTTTTATAATTAAGGAAGATAAAACTTAACTTTTTTATTTAGAAGGAAAACATTAAAGTTTGTGCAGCATATGAAAGAACAAGTGGATGTATAGAGATTGAAAAAAATACTGGAATATTTATTGATGCAGTAAATTTTGCCGATGCCAACAGATTCTACGATAGACCGTCTGAAATGATAAGAAGATTAATGTTAGCATTGGTTGGCGAGTTTAATTTACGTGAGATGGTTGCAGTTGGAAAAAAAATCGCAAAGGAGTTACAGATGACATCAAAGCAACCGTTTATAGTAAATACTTATTACTCACCTCTTTATGCAT